TCCATTCACTTATTTGTTAAGTGTGCAACTTACATTTATTGATTAGTCTCATTTGCCAGGCATGATGCTAGGCCCTGGTCATACAAAGATGAATAAAGCACAACCCCTGAGGGTTTGTCTTCCTTCATCCTATTGCTGATGCAAGTTTGTATATCTCCGTAGGCACAGGTGACAGAGCAGGTTCTGCAGATAATGGGCCACCTTTTCTTCCTTATGCCACCATCCAAACTCAAGAACCAAGTGAACCGGTTAACACGATGGTTAATGATTTTGATGTCCACGAAAGTGACACCTTTCTACATTTCCCAGGTGATTGGGTTGTGCGTGAGAGGGAAATTTGACTCATTTATGTATTTCATGTTTATTGAGTAGTTAATGCTGGAGTGGGCAAAGCTTGGCCCATAGGTCAAATCCATTCTGAAGCTTATTTTTGTAAGGAATGTTTTACTGTAACTCAGCCATGTCCATTTGTTGAATTCACCTCATGCTTTGAAACTCTCTGACTTCCTTGTCTCTGACCTTTAGACCCAGCTTTAAAGGGCCTATGAGATTAGATCAGTGGTTCTCAACCTTCTGGCCCTTTAAATAGAGTTCGTCATGTTGTGACCCAACCATAAAATTATTTTCGTTGTTACTTCATAAGTGTAATGTTGCTACTGTTATGAATCGTAATGTAAATATCTGATATGCAGGAGGGTCTTAGGCGACCCCTGTGAAAGGGTCATCCGGCCGCCAAAGGGGTTGCGACCCATAGGTTGAGAACCACTGGATAATTAGATCAAGCCTACCTGGAATACCTTCCTATTTCAAAGTCAGCTGGTGTGGGACCTTACTTATATATGCAAAATCCTTTCAAATCAACACCCAGATTAGTGCTTGTGTGAAAAACCAGGAGAAGGTGTTTGTACACCAGGGACCTGGGATTTTAAGGGCCATTTCAGAATTATGCCTGTGATAGAAATGTTATACACATATTAGGTATTTTTATGAACAGAGTTTCAAGAACCAGAACACAAATTTTCTGATTGTTGTTTCAGTTTTCCTTCTAATTCAATGGCATTTCTCATACCGAGTTCCTCCAACTTCTAATGAGTATTCCACAAAAAGAAGGCGTGTTATTTAGTAAACTGGGTGAGAAATGTTGAGTTTAAAATTAAACAAATTTCTTACCTGTAGGACTTCTCTGAGTCTTCAATATGTGGGTTAGTCTGGTCCTCTAAGAAGCAGACACCAACCTGGACTTGAGGTGCAAGAGAGTTATTGGAGGAACACCTGTGAGGAGAAAACAGGGAAGGAGCCAGAGGAGGCTGGGAGAGCCATCAGACTGAGTAGTAGTTCTGACCATTGATAAGGAGAAGGGGAAGGAGGGAAGAAGGGGGAGAAGGGAAGAAGAAAGGAAAGTTTTACATTAGAGTGTAGTTCTAAGAAAGTTCAATGCCAACAGGGAGTCAATGCCAACCGAGTCATCAAGCCAATGTCCTACATCTTGCATACGTAGGACAGAAAAGTCCTACATCTTGCATATGTAGGCCTGCTTTAGTGGACCTGCCATACTCAGTCATTGGCTGGAAGAAACCTTTGGGAATCTAGCCTCACTTTTAAACAGTGATGGATTTTAAAATAAAGAAGTTGGAGATGTTCAATTATGCCCTCCAGAATAGGCATCTGAGAGGCACATTTTTCATGGTTGCTCAACATGTTAGTATGCACTTGTAAATTTCCAAGAGGAGATATTTTTTCTTTTCAGTGCAACCCCCATTAGCATCAAGTTTTTAGGGATCACCATTTGTGGTCTACCATTGCACTACCACCTCACATGCACTTTCCTTGGTGTATGAAGATTTGACCTTCCTCATGTATGTGCTCTGAGCTTTCTCCTTTAGTGGAGCAGCCAGTCTCTTATTTACTAGTACTTACCCTCCTGTCATGTGTCTGCATGTTGCCTAAGGTAAGGTCTATGAACCTGGAGCAGAGGTTTGCTCTGTGTAGTCAATTAGCCAGTTAGAGGATGAAATTTGTAACCTACCCGCTAGTCTGCAGATTGTGCAGGTAGAGATTGTACCCTACATTTTGCGGACAGTGGAAATGTTTTGGCTACTTCCTCCTTCTCTCTCCATCTCTATCACTCCTTGGGATAGTGATTAAGAATCGAGATATTTGTCAGTCTGTAGTGTAATTTGTTTGGACATTAACTAGCACTAGCCAGCTCTACTTAGGGAGGCTGGCCTAATTTGGGGGTCCATTGGCAAACCAAAGGAGAAGAAATGTTAAATATTTAAAATCCAGTGGAGGGATTTCTGCTCTGGCAGAGATGGAGTAACTGAGGCCAGAATTACTTTCTTCTCGGAAACAAGTGAAACACTACGCAATATATATGAAATAATGGTTCTCAAACTATTGAACAGCAGGCAACTAAGAACAGTGTCCCTGAGAGGCAGGGAAGACAAGGCATCAGCTCTATTATTGCCCCTATTTACTTCCTTGAGAAAATTTCCAGTCAGTGGCAGAGGAAAAGAAACCCCAGGAAGAGTTGATGGACTTTCTGAGTTGAGAAGATAGCACTGAGAGACCAGGGAGACCAGCATAGCTAGAGTTTACAGGGTGGAGTAACTAAATAGTCATGTGTGTGAGAAAATGGTTCCAGGTGAGGAAAACCCCCAAACCTGAAAGAACAGTAGCCAGAACTCACACAGGGCCAAGAATTATACCTGTTCCCACCAAATAGCCTTAAATACTCATAATTCATAGAGCATTAGGTAGATAGGTGGGTTGGGGAACAAAATTAATGGTAGGCTGAATGATTTTCTGGTCCTGTCTAACTAATTTTTAAAAAGCAAGACCCAAAAGGATCAAATTATTTTCAAGTAACTTTAACTGTGTTCCAGGGAAAACTCAAGAATATTTATAGGAATACTAAAATGTCCAATACCCAATAAGGTAAGTTTACAATGAGTCACATTAATTTTTTTAAAAAAATCACCAAGCATGCTTAGAAGTAGGACAATATGGCCTATTATAATGAGAAAAATAAATAAAAAACTGACCCAGAACTCACACAGATGTTAGAAGTAGCAGACAAGGACATTAAAACTGATATTGTAACTGGTTCAGCTAGATTAAAAACTAGTAGAAAGATTAAGTAAATAAGTAAAAACCAGGAAAATATATTTTAAAAGGACCCAAATTGAACTTCTAGAGTTAAAGACTAGAATATCTCTGATGAAAAACGCTGAAAGTATTAAGGACAGATTAGATATTGCAAAAGAAAAGCCTGGTTAACTGAAGACAGCAATAGAAAATACACAAAATGAAACAGAACAAATGAAAAAATAAATAAAGAAGAAAGCATCAGCCTGGCCATAGTGGCTCAGTGGTTGAGCGTCAACCTATGAGGCAGGAGGTCACGGTTTGATTCTGGGTCAGGGCATATGAGCAGGTTGTAGGCTTGAACCCCAGTGGGGGGCATGCAGGAGCCTGCCAATCAATGATTCTCTCTCAATATTGATGTTTCTATCTCTCTCTCCCTCTCCCTTTCTAAAATCAATAAAACAATAAATTAGAAAAAAAAAGCATCAGTGAGGCATGCAACAACTTTAAGCAGCCTAATTTATGTGCAATATGAGTCCCCTCATAAAGGAAGAGACAGAAAATGTATTTGAAGAAATAGTGGTTGAACAATTCCCAAATCTGAAGAATAGTATAAACCTACAGATCCAACATAGTCAATGAACCCAACACAAGAAATAAAAAAAACTACTCCAAATCATGTCACAATCAAATTTCTCAAAACCAGTGGAAAAGAAAAAATGATTTTTTTTAAAATTAAATTTATTGGAGTGACATTAGTTAGCATGAACATGGAGGTTTCAGGTGTGGGTTTCAGTACTACAAGATCTGTATATTGCTCCATGTGTTCTCACTGCCAAGTCAGATCTTCTCATGTCACCATATATTAGATCCCTCTTCTCTCCCCACCCCTTTTGATCCAGGTTGAATTCATTTTTGTACGTGGGACCAAACTGTAACCCACTTTCATTCATTTACATGTGGCTTTGCAATTTTCCCAGCACTTTTGAAGAAGAGGCAATACTTCCTAAGAAGTATTTATTGAAGAGACTATCTTAACTCTATTGTGTGTTTCTGGCTCCTTTGTCGAGAATTATCTGTCCATACACATGTGATTTTATAGCCTGGCTCTCTATTCTGTTCTATTGATCTGTGTGTCTGTTTCTCTGCCAGTACCATGCTATTCTGATGACCATAGCTCTGTAGTATAATTTGAAGTCAGGTAGCGTGATAACTCCAACTTCATTCTTTTTTCTCAGTATTGCCTTGGCTATTTGGGGTCTTTTGTGGTTCCATACAAATCTGATGATTTCTCATTCTATTTCTTTAAAAAATGACATTGGAATCTGTATATTGCTTTGGGTAATATGGCCGTTTTAACTATTTTAATTCCTCCAATCAATGAACATGGAATATTTTTCTATTTTGTTGTGTCTTTTTCAATCTCTTTTAATATTCCTTTATAATTTTCAGTATACAGGTCTTCCACGTTCTTTGTTAAGTTTCTTCCTAGGTATTTTATTCTTTTGGTTGCAGTTGCAAAAGGAATTATATTTTATTTTCATTTCTTTTTCTGAAGTTTTGTTGTTAGTATACAGGAAGGCAATAAATTTTTGCACATTGATTTTTGTATCCTGTAACTTTACTGTATTAGTTTATTGTTTCTAATAGTTTTGTTTTTTTGGTGGAGTCTTTAGTGTTTTCTATATACAGAAAAATGTCATCTACAAAAAGTGATAGTTTTATTTCTTCCTTCCCTATTTGGATGTCTTTTATTTCTTTCTCTTGCCTTATTACTCTGGTCAGGATTTCTAGCATTATGTTGAATAAGAGTGGTGAGAGTGGACATCTTTGCTTTGTTCCTGTTCTTAGAGGAAAAGTTTCAGTTTTTCACCACTGAGTATGATATTAGCTGAGGATTTATCATAGATGGCCTTTATTATGTTGAGGTACTTTGCTTCTATTCCTATTTTATTGAGTACTAGTAGCCCGGTGCACAAAATTCGTGCACTGGGGTAGGGGGGAAAGGGGCCCCTCATTCTGGCCTGCACCCTCTCCAAACTGAGACCCCTCAGGGAATGTCCAACTGCCTGTTTGTGCCCACACTTTTAACCAATAACAGCTCCATTGTTGTTTCTTTCTTATGCTTAAAACCATTGGAATTAGTAGGTATTCAAAGTGTGTATACATTTTGGGGGGACACCCTGTATATCTCTAGTCAGCGGTGAAAGAAACCAAAGGCA